ATATATATATGTGTATATATATACACATATATATATGTATATATACACATATATATATGTATATATATATACACATATATATATATATATATATATATAATTTAAATTTTTTTTTTACTTCTGAGCAGCTTGTGTGATAGAGTTTGAACAAAACTCAAGGAAATAATGTTTGTGTTTATGTTTTCAAATTGAAATTTAGTGAAGAATATTTGATACTGAGGTTAAAGAACTTATTTGTTTTTACTCCTTTTTAAGGGTCTCTGTAAGACAAAACTAGTAAAAAAACAAACAAACAAACAAATGAAGCCAACTTTTCTGAGACAGGGTCAGGCATCAGTTGGGCATCAGTGGGGCATCAGTGGGGCATCAGTGGGGCTGCTGGTGGTCCTTCCTTCTCATTGTTGCCCTGTGAAGCCCCAGACAGTCTGCTGTGGGTGGTCCTGTCGTCTGTCGTCTGTCGTCTGTAGCTGCTGCCCCTGCTGGTGCTTTTTGTCCCCAGTCAGACACAACACGCTCTTTTACGGCGCTGCCTCTTTAACGAGCTGCTTAACAAACCTGTTAACTTGATTCCCACTGCGCCCCCGGTGGAAGCCGACGATAAACAGGTAGGAAGTAACTGTACGACCGTAACCTTGTGCTGTCACTTGGTCCGTGTTGATGTGGGCGTCACCCTGCCGTGTGTCACAGCACGTCACCGCTGTCTTCTCTGTGTGTGTGTGTGTGTGTGTGTGTGTGTGTGTGTAGTCTGTGTGTGGAGGTTTGTGGATTTCTCTGTGTTTTTTTTTTCTTGCCTCTTTTGATATACTTTGAAAATCAATGTTTCATTTTTCATCAAACGGTTAATTATTATTTAAAAAAAATGTTCTCTATAATATTACAGTACAGCTCAGTACAGTGTATGTTAAAGTATAGAATAGTATATTATGGGATGTATAGGTAGTATAGTATAGCAGGTAAGTATTTACAGTATAGTGTAGTATAGTATGGTATAGCATTCACAGTGTTGTGTAGTGTTTTTTAGTATATCATAGTATAGTATAGCATTGCATAATAATTACATTATAGGATTTATTGTATTTTATAGAATAATATAGTATAGCAGTATGGTATGGTATAGTATGTGTGTGTAGTAAATATTAGTATAATGTAGTAGTAGTATTTTATAGTACAGTACAGTAGATTTAAAAACTTGATTTTTCAGATACTAATGAAAAAACTTCTTTATATTAGACTTGTTGTTTTGAGCAGTTGTTTTAATTACAGAAATAGTTTCCATCCATTCAAACCTAAATTTGCTCAGTGGTCCTAGCCTGAAGAGTCAACCACTGTTGACTTTTTTCTCCTCATGTTTGAAGCCCACGTTCTTTTCTCCAGGATTTTTCTCTGCTGCCTGACAAAGACAAAACCCTGCTGGGTGAAGGGGGCGTCATCCTCAGCGGAGGTCAGCGAGCCCGACTTGGACTGGCCAGGTACTTCCTGTCAAACCTTAACCACGTTTTGTATTTGTGTCGGGGGCAGAGGTCACCGTCATGAAAGAGTTTTTATTACTCCCTGATTAATTACCATAATTATCTCATTAAGTTTTAAAAATGCTACATCAGCAAAGATGATTTCATTAGTGTCTTTATTAATGTCAGTTTCTGAGAAACTTTCAATTTTATAAAGGCAAAATAATGGGACAATAGAGGGAACAACTGAGACAAACGATGGAACAGCGTCTGCTGTTTGATCTCTGCACTTAATAATCTGACAGTGTTTTATAAACACACTTATCCCATTGGTTTACAGAAATAAGGGCCAAAATAGTTTTATTGTAATTGTTGATTGACTGAAAACACTTTTTTTTTTAAATGTCAACAAACAAAGACCTTTTTGAGTTTCCTCAGATTACGACAGCGTCTTTTGAGGAAAAATGGTTCGACTTCTATGTCAGTTCACAAGAAGAAGAACATGAGTTATAAATAAACAGTGTTTATTTACCACTGTGTAACATTTACACGTGAGGCCTTAAATCACGGTGATGTTTCCTCACTAACCCTGTGCTGTCAGTGACTCTAATCCTCCATAACGGTCACATATCTTTCTCACCTGAACAGTTTTACGGCGGCGCTGCCGTCGGTGCCGCGGTGACACTGATTCAAACGTTCAGGTCTCATGTTCCCACGCTTTATTTATGGCTTCAGTGTCTCAGCGTTGTTCTGTTTTACCGTTGTCACCGTAATCAATCACTGATATTGATTTGTCCTCATCTACAGTATGTCTGTTCTGTTTTAAACACGTCTGTGCGTTTCTCCCTCAGAGCCGTGTATAAAGACGCTGACCTCTACCTGCTGGACGCCCCGTTCACACACCTGGACATTGTGACGGAGAAAGAGATCTTTGAGAAGTGCGTATCCCAACAGAGACTCTTTCATGGGGGAGGAAGGGGGAGGAGGGGGGAGGTAGAGCGTAGGTTCTGAAGTTCAAGGTCAACCTTTTTTTTTTCTCCTTGCAGTGATTTCACTGTAATCTCATCAGGAAATGAGTTTTTTTTTCTTTGGTGCAGCAGAAAAGAATTCTTTTGATGAGAGGTTGACTTTACTGAGTGAATGTTTAGATGTAGCCAAATGTTTGGCTGTTTTTACTGAGATGAAGACAAAAGGCTCAGGTTGGTCTTCAGCCTGTGCAGAAACACATCTGTTTGATTTTCTCTACCGTCTCCATTTCTCTCCACAGATGCATTTGTAATTTAATGGCCTCCAAAACCCGCATCGTGGTCACCAGCAAGTTGGACCACCTCAAGCGAGCGGACAAAATCCTTTTGCTCCACAACGGTGACTGCTTCTTCTACGGCACCTTCTCAGAGCTGCAGGCCCAGCGCCCGGACTTCAGCTCCCTCCTCCTTGGCCTGGAAGCCTACGACAACATCAACGCGGACCGTCGCAGCTCCATTCTCACAGAGACTCTCCGCAGGGTTTCCATCGATGAAACCGCCGGCCTCTGGGGGCCAGAGCCCATTCGACAGTCGTTCCGCCATCCGCCACCTCCCGTTATCTCTCAAGGCCCTCCAGGTGGCGATGTCTACCCAGAAAAACGCAAGCAGTCCCTCATCCTAAATCCCCTGGCAGCTGCTCGCAAGTTCTCCTTCATAGGGAACTCCCAACAGACAAACGCTCCGCAGTCTGCAGCGATGGAGGACGGGGTCCGAGAACTTTCAGAGAGAAAATTCTCCGTGGTGCCAGAGGACGAACAAGTGGAGGAGGTGCTCCCCAGGAGTAACGTGTATCACCACGGTTTCCAGCACCTGAATGGGCAGAGGCGTCAGTCCGTCCTGGCCTTCATCACCAACGCTCAAGGTCAAGTGCGCAGAGATCAGATGCAGTCGTCCTTCAGAAGAAAGCTGTCCATCACACCGCAGTGCGATCTGGCCACAGAGCTGGACATTTACGCTCGCCGTCTGTCCAAGGACAGTGTTTATGACATCAGTGAGGAGGTGGACGAAGAAGACATGGAGGTAGGCCGTCGTTACTGTTGTTGTTGACCGCCGCTGTTTTCCACAGATCGTAACATTCAGTTTTCCATCTTCACAGCAATGCTTTGCAGATGAACGCGAGAACATCTTTGATACTACCTCATGGAGCACGTACCTGCGCTACGTCACCACCAACAAAAGCCTGATCTACGTCCTCGTGTTCATCGCTGTGGTCTTTGCAATTGAGGTCCGTCTTTGGGATTTTTATTTTAATTCTCTGAATGTGAAATGAATTTATTTGAAATGAATGGTTTTGATCATTTTTTCTTTTCTCTCTACCAACAGGTTGCTGGTTCAGTCATTGGCATTTTTCTCATCACTGAGTAAGTTTTAAAATTTACTTCATCAACTTGTAACTCTGAGTAAGTTTTAAAATTTACTTCATCATAACATCGTACATTTGTATCAATAAATGATTTTTTTTTTCTTAACACAATATGGGCATCACTGGCCCTAATTGATTTTTTTTTCTTAGGACAATATGGGCATCACTGGCCTTTTTGTCCCTAATTATTTTTTCCAGTACCTGCAGTTTCTCGTTGTTCACCATACTCAGATATGTAAGAATTAAAGATATAATTAGTAAAACATTGGTACTAAAGGTACAGGTATGTTATGTGTACCACAGAAGGTCAAAGGTCTGCCGTTCTCAGGTTGATGTTCGATGTCCAAAATAACGTTGTTTTTCTTGTGACTAATTTTTAATTCCACATTTCCTTTTGCTCTGTTCTACCAGTGAGATCTGGAGAGATGGAGCCAATCCGTCCTCTCCCAACTACATCACCGAGCAGCATCCCAATTCCTCGGCGCCCCCTGTCCACTTAGCCGTCATCGTCACGCCGACCAGCGCTTACTACATCATCTACATCTACGTGGCCACGTCGGAGAGCGTGCTGGCCCTCGGGATTTTCAGGGGTCTCCCGTTAGTGCACACGTTACTCACTGTGTCCAAACGACTGCACGAACAGATGCTGGGCGCCGTGCTGCGGGCGCCGATGGCCATGTTGAACACGATGAAGACAGGTGCGTTCTCAGTTTGTCACGTTGTTGATGTTTTTTTTTTTGTGGATAATTATTTATCTTTTTAAATACATCAAGGATCGGCCCTTTTTTTCAAAGACTGACCAAATTTTTTTTTCTCAAACTTTTTCAAAAAAAAAATTTTTCTAAAATTTTTCAAAAAAAAAGAATACAATTTTCAAAAAGTTTTTTCCAAGAAAAAATTTTTTCAAAGATTTTAACCAAAAATTTTCAAAATCTGACCAAATTGTTTTTCTAAATTAAAAAAAAAATGTACAAAATATTAAAAAGAATTGTACAATTTTTCAAAAAAAATTTTTTTTCTAAAAATTCTTTAAAATTTTTTTCAAAGTGTTGCAGTGAGGGAGGACATGCAGATAGGAGATGCAGAGAACAGGGAGAGATGGAAATCAATGATTTGCTGTAGCAACTCCTGAAAAAAGTTGAATAAAAATTTTTTTAAAATTTTTTTTCAAAATATTTGAAAAAAAAAAATTCAAAAAAAATGTTCTTTCAAAGAAAAAAAATTCAAAAAAAATGTTCTTTCAAAAAAATTAAAAAAGAAATTAAAAAAAAAAAAAATGGGGACAAAGCCAAAAGAAAAAGAAGAAGATTTATCTTTTTAATTCATCGCCCGCGTTTTCTTCCAGGTCGCATCATGAACAGATTCACCAAGGACATGACGACCATCGATGACATGCTGCCCCTGGTGCTCTTTGACTTCATACAGGTAGAACCACGTGCACACGTGCACCGTGTAACTTCACACTCACCCAGCACTCACTCGACATTTCTCTTCCTCCCTCTCACACCAGTTGTCGTTGATCGTCCTGGGCGCCATCTTCACCGTGTCCATCATGCGGCCGTACATCTTTATCGCCGCCATCCCATTGGCTGTCATCTTTGTTGTCCTCAGGAAGTACTTTTTACGAACTGGGCAGCAGCTGAAACTGCTGGAGGCAGAGGGTAAGTGAGTCAAAGACTCTGGGGGAAAGGGGAGGGGTCTCACCTCTCACCTCTGTCATCCGACCTGTCAGTCAGACGGAGCCGCCGAATGGCAACGGGTCAATGTTCAGGCAGAGAAAGAAAAACATGACAGAGGGAAGACGGATGATTAAAAAAAATCATCCCTGATTGGTCCAGCTGGTCAGGTTTATGAACACAGAAGTAAATCTGTCTCCAGGAGCTGCGGTCCAACAGGAAGTAAGAAACTCCACGGACAGTCAGGACCAGCGCAGAGTCACTGCTGCGTCAGCAAATATTTAATAACACCTTCATGGAACAGTGTCTGATGTCAACCTTATATCAACACACACGTTTTCAAAGCCTGTTAGTAGGAAGTTCAGCCTGGAGACAGACGTTTAGAAAATGAGTTTTTAGAAACTTCATTCTCTCCTTTTCCCTCTCTTTCTTTTCGACTTCTTGCCTCTTTTTCTGCTTTTTTTTTCTTTATTTTTTCTACTTTTTTTCTCTTTTTCCTCCATCAACTTTCTTCTTCTCCTTTCCTCAACATTGTGACCAGACGGTAAGATGAAAACCTGATTGTCCAGATTTAGACATATTGAAAACATATTGACCTAAATTAAAGAGTGAGTTTGGGAACAACAGGAGCAGGAACAGGCCGGCGGCTGCAGCTGCAGCTGCTGAAACGCCACTGTGTGTTTTCTGTCCTGCCTGGTTATTGAACGTCTGTTTGGCTGGTGGTTCCAAGGTTTTTTTTTCCGGAGCAGCGTAGAACATGTCGGGGTCAGAGAAATGAGCCCAGCTGGGATTTCCTCCGACCCCATCCTGATGTTGCTCCTCCTGCTGTCACTGGCAGCGTGTCGAACAAATACAGTGGAACGTATTGGCATGAGTCACTGAGGAATCTTATAGAAACATTCTGATGGCGTTAGCTGATGTGATGTCATGTTGTACGAAAATAAAACAGTTTTAGAACATGTTTTTTTTCCTCTTCTCCAGCCCGAAGCCCCATCTTCTCCCACCTCATCATCTCACTGAAGGGTTTATGGACCATCCGGGCGTTTGGGCGTCAAACCTATTTTGAAATGCTCTTTCACAAGGCCCTGAACACGCACACGGCCACGTGGTTCCACTACCTGGCCACGCTGCGGTGGTTCCTGTTCCGCTGCGACATCCTCTTCGTCCTGTTCTTCAGTGCGGCCGCCTTCATCGCCGTGGGAACCAACAGTAAGTTTGGGTTTTATTTGACTGAACCACAGGTACAATTAAACGTCAAAAAGTTCAAACTTTTATTAGGAAGAACATCCAGTCCCATTAAACGGTCACTGACACTGTCTGGTCACCGAAGAGCAAAACAAAAACCCTCTTCCTTCCTTTCTCCCCTTAAAATCTGCGAGTAGCAGCGCGAACAACATGATATAATCAGAGTCAACACGTCACGGCGTCACATTCCTGGACGTGAGAATAAATAATAGCGGTCACGAATGAAGCGCTATTGTTCAGAAACGCCAGTCGGAACATCTACACATTCCACTATGGCAGTAGTGCACAGCTCATTGTTTCCTCTGCGTCTGTTCGGTGGCGCAGCCTCAGTCTTATCTGCCTGTGACAGCGTGTGCCGTTTATTTGATATCAGGATCAAAACAGAACAGTTTGTCTGCGAGAAACTCCTCAAAACTGTTGGAATCTCAGCCGGATAAAATGTCACGTACGGAAGGGAAGAAGGTGTTTGTTTAATCGAACGATTGGACGCAGGGTACGAGCACGAACACACGCGGACAACCGCACATGTCGCTGTACGCCGCCGCGCTGCATCAGAGCCCGTGTTTATGTTGAAGGTAGATTAAAGGGTCATTTCACAGATCATTAGTTTTCAACAGGGCCGGTAGTAGAGCTGCACTGACGTGTGTGTGTGTGTGTGTGTTCTCTCTGCAGAGGACAAACCAGGGGAGGTCGGCATCATCGTGGCCCTGGCCATGCTCATCCTGGGGACTTTCCAATGGGCCGTCATCACCAGCATCACTGTAGATGGACTGGTATGTGCTCCACACACACACACACACACACACACACACACACACTTTAACACAGTGTTTCCCAAACTTTTTTTCTGGCGACCCAAATTTTAAAAGTCACAAACCGTCGCGATCCAAGTCAATAGACATTATTCCTAAACTCCTTGATCCAAGTCAATAGACATTATTCCTAAAGTCCTTGGATGCGAGATGACCCACCTGCGGGTCGCGACCCAGTCTTTGGGAAACAATGCGTTAGACGTCATCAAGCGTTTGTGAGATACCATTAGGTTTGTTTTTTTAACACCTGGTTTTATTAATGAATAATTCAGATGTTGGAATTATTATTTTGACAAATGTCAAGAAAAAGATACAAGATTAGAATTTAGCTTCATGAAGTTGGATGTTTGTCGTTTGCTGGTCAACGGTTTCTCACAATCCATTAGACAATAGTGTCAGTCGTAGACTGACTTACAGTCCTGACCTCAGTGAGACTGGTCTGACCTGAAGTTGAAACCTCCACAAACACTGTTTACCTGGTGTTTTATTCTGGAGGAGTCTTCTGAAACTAAAACTCTTCCTGACCGTCAAACCCGTCTTTCTCATTCCCCTCAGATGCGTTCGGTGGAACGGGTCTTCAAATTCATAGACCTGCCCTCAGAGGAGCCGATGCGGGGTAGATCAGGGGGCAAAGGAGGCCTTGACCTGGTCATCGACAACCCTCACGTCCATGACTGCTGGCCCAACCGTGGACAGATGGACGTCCAGGGTCTGACTGTCAAATACACGGAGGCTGGACGGGCTGTTCTCAGCAACGTTTCCTTCTCTGTGGACGGGGGGCAGAGTGTAAGTGTGTGTGTGTGTGTGTGTGTGTGTGTGTGTGGATTAATGAGCTGTGGCAGAGTGATGTACGTTAACTCTACATTATTGGATTTTCAGCCGTCAAAGCAGTGGTTTGTCCTGAAAGGGCTTCTGTAGGTAAAGGTCGCCGTGAGGTCACAGCGAGGTGACCTTAGAATAAACACTTCTATAAGACTGGGTCCTATGGACGATCAGTTCATTTGAATTAGGGTAGTTTGGACGGATTAACTGCTGTGGTCAGAGAAGAATTAATTTGAAAAAAATATTTCTAAATTATTTCTTTTTAATCTATTTGTAGTTTGTTTTCAGTCAACAGAAATGAAAAGTCCTGTAACATTGTGTCCTAATGAGTGGCCCAAACCCTACTTTGGGAACCACTGGATACTTTTCTTTCATGGGTGTGATTGTCTTCACGATCAGTAAATTCAAGTTTTCCACCGTTGGCGTGGACGCTCTGTGTAGAAGTTTATTTCAGGAGTCGATGTTCAGACGGACTGATGAAATCTTCACGTTGATGTTTCACAGGTGGGTCTGCTGGGTCGAACGGGTTCAGGGAAGAGCACGCTGCTCTCCGCTCTGCTGCGTCTGGCCTCCACTGAGGGCGAGATCTCCATCGACGGCGTCTCCTGGAGCTCAGTGTCCCTGCACACCTGGAGGAAAGCCTTCGGTGTGGTTCCACAGGTACGTCCAGGAGAACTTTGGGTTTTAGTTTAAGAAAAATCAATCCTGAATATATTTAATCTCCTGTTTATTGAACAGAAAGTCTTTATTCTGACCGGAACCTTCCGCATGAACCTGGATCCATACGGTCGATACTGTGATGAGGATCTGTGGAGGGTGGCGGAGGAGGTGGGTGTCGAGAATATCTGTACTAGAAAATACTAATAAATCATTTGGTCTTTCCTGGTAAAACATGTTTTTTGGTTGGTAACGATTTTTGGGTTGTTTTTTTTTTTTTCTGAGCAGAACGGTAGAATGTTGGAGAAATAATAATATAATTAATCACTATTTTTCTTTGACATTGGAATATTGTTTACTCACATTATGAATGGTTTCTGTTCCAATGCCACTACATTTTTCTACCATATTTTCCAGTCTATAAGTCACACTTTTTTTATCCTTGGCCTTAAAAACAAACGTCCTCGTCCTTTCCCACCAGGTGGGTCTGAAGTCGGTGATTGAACAGTTCCCAGACAAACTGGACTTTCAGCTGCTGGACGGAGGCAGCGTCCTGAGCAACGGACACAAACAGCTGATGTGTCTGGCCCGCTCCATCCTCAGCAAGGCCCGCATCCTGCTGCTGGGAGAGGCCTC